CCTCCCACCACCACCACCACCCGGGTTGGGGAGAGAGCTGTATTTTAGGTTGGATTAGTCATTGTTTCCCCGTGTACTAGACTAACCTCGCTGGGCCTGCTCAGCTCAACCCCCCTGCCCTGGCCTGTGCCCAGCCACAGCCGAGCAGGTAGCCGCTACACCTCCGCTCCGGCAGCGCTCCTCCTCCAGGCCCTCGTCCTGCTGGAGAAACACCCACCGCACCGTATTTTCCTCCCCTACATTCCAGCTCTAGCACGCCCTAGGCGCGCCTTAGAGAAAGGAAGGGGGGGAGGGGGTGGGAGGGCTGTCATCTCCCGACAAATTGCTCCGCAGGTTCATGAGTCGATGAGCCGCTCCAGGACCTCCAGGAGGACAGCGCGCAGAAGATCTCCAGAATGAGTAGAGGAAGAGAGAGAGGAGGGGGGAGGGGCATCTAATCAAGGTTTTAAAACGAAGTTCTCTGGCGCCTCCTGAGGGCGGGGGAGGAAGGGGTGGTGGAAGGCAGACGACGAGACTGGCTTGAAGCGGGCCGTCGTCGGCGGCGGGGGAAACTTTTCGGCCAAAAAGAGACCGAGGCGGGGTCCCAACTAATCGCAAAAGAACGTCGATTGATCAGTTTAATCTGTAGTTGTTGTTTTTTTTATAATAGTCTCGTCTCCCAGCACCGTCCTTGTTGAGGAGGGACGTCTCAGGCTGCCCGACGGTGGGGGTGGCGAGGTCGAAAATAGTGCTGTAATCAAACTAGGAGGCCGTTCTGCAGGCGCTGCAGAAGGGGGGCGGGGAGGGTCGAGGGTCGTGGCGGGGGCGGAGAGGGGGCCGAGACGGGGCTAGCTAGGGTGGGGGACAAGCCGGCGATGCAAACAGCAGACGAAGCAGGAGCGCAGCGGAGAGGTCTAAATTCGCCGTAAATTTGCATGGCTGGGGCTGGGCGTATGGTGGAGTTGGCGGAAAAGGGGGGGGGGGGCACGCCAGAGGGTGTCGAGTGCAGCGCGGACGGCGAGGACTTCCTGCTGTTGCTGTTCGACGGGCAGCTCGACGAGCTGCACGTGCAGTGGGCCGGGGCGCGTATGAGCGAGGGCGCGGCCTAGGCGAAGGTCACAGGGATGTAGGGTGGCAGTCCGAGCCAGTCGGAGCACCCCAGCACTCGCAGCTCAACGCGCACATGAGCGTCTGTCTCACCTCGTCCAACAGAGCCCCCGAGTCCCCTCCCCTTTAGCGCGTCCCCGCCCCACGCCGGGGCACGCCTGTCGCCTGTCTATCGAAACAATGTCGGGGGTGAACAACATGCGCGGGTTGGTAGGGATGGGGCCACCGGGGGGCGCGGCGGTAGGGGCTTGGGAGGGGGTTGCTGAGCACCGCGGCTCCCTCCCCCCGCTCACTCAGTGTCGCCTTGTCTAAGCAGGCAAAAAGCTCGGGGGTGGAAGGGAGGGACGCATCCCCCGAGTACACAACAACAAAAGTTACACCATTAACGTCAGCAAAAACAAAAACAGCACAAATATTAATTAAGTACGCGAGAATCATCATTTCTCTATGGTTGCGTTTACGTGGTGTTTACGTTCCACCCCCGGGCCGGCTCAGAGTCTGTATATATTATATCGATTTCTCTACAGCCAGACTCTCGTCGGTGTCGTGACGGTCGCCTTTAAAAGTTTCCGTCGGCTGGTAATTATTTCGGTTGTAGGTGCGAGCTGCGTGGCCGCGCTCCCCACTCACCCGCCATCACGACAACCCCCCTCTCTGTACGCGATGTGGCATGCAGATTTCACGCTTGGCTGCCTCATGTTTCCCGATTCCAGGCAATCCATACCGCCGCTCCACCCCCGGCCCCACCTCAGCCACCTCAGCCCCCGCCCAGAGCACCGCGGTGGCCTGCCAGCTAACTCGGGCTGCCAGCTCTGGCCGCCCGCCCGGCCAGGGGAGGGTCTGGCCTGTCGTTTATCGGTCGTCCAACCCAACGAGGGTCTTTGGGGGCCTTGCTTGCAGCAGAGGCGGTGCGGGGGCAGCGTTTGGTTGCGCAGTGCAGGGATTGCCCACATCGATCTGCACCCCTTTCTCTCTCTTCCCCCTTCCCCCAATCCCCGCTCCCTCGGCATCCTTCTGACCAGGCAGCAGT